ATTCGTCCATCTTCATCCCCTCTCGGTTCTGGTTTTTTCTTTGTGGGAAAAAAGGATGGTTCCCTGCGCCCCTGTATAGATTACAGAGGTTTAAATCAGATCACTATGAAAAATAAGTATCCTTTACCATTACTGGCCTCTGCTTTTGAACCTGTACAAGGTGCTACAGTGTTTACCAAACTCGATCTGAGAAACGCCTACCACCTCCTCAGAATAAGGGAAGGGGATGAGTGGAAAACAGCCTTTAAGACCCCCTTAGGGCAATTCGAGTATCTGGTCATGCCTTTTGGTCTCACTAATGCTCCTGCCTGTTTCCAAGCTCTGGTTAATGACGTCCTCAGAGACTTTTTGAACATTTTTGTTTTTGTTTACATCGATGACATTTTGATTTACTCCAAGAACCTCTCTGATCACAAAAAACATGTTTGTTTAGTCCTTCAGAGACTGGTGGAGAATAAGCTTTTTGTGAAAGCCGAAAAATGTGAATTTCATCAAAAATCTGTCACTTTCCTAGAGTTTGTGCTCGAGGGTGGGCAGGTGAGGCCATCAGAGGACAAGATAAAGGCAGTTCTGGAATGGCCTACACCTGAAAACCGCAAGCAACTTCAGAGATTCCTCGGTTTTGCAAACTTCTACAGGAGATTCATCAAAAATTATAGCCAGACAGCCCTACCTCTCACAGCTCTTACTTCTGTTAAGAGAACTTTTCAATGGACTCCTGAAGCTGAAGAGGCCTTTAATAAATTAAAGAAACTCTTTTCCAGCGCTCCCTTTTTGGTTCAGCCAGATCCAACGAAGCAGTTCATCCTCGAGGTTGATGCATCTGATTCCGGTGTTGGAGCTGTGTTGTCTCAGAAGTCTGATTCTGATCATAAAACTCATCCTTGTGCTTTCTATTCACGCAGACTCTCTCCAGCCGAGCAAAATTATGACATTGGAGATCGAGAACTTCTGGCCATTAAGCTCGCCCTGGAGGAATGGAGACACTGGCTCGAGGGGGCTGAGCATCCAGTACTGGTTTGGACAGACCACAAGAACCTCGCCTATATTCAGTCAGCCAAAAGGTTCAATTCACGGCATTCAAGGTGGTCTTTATCCTTCTCTCTGTTTAATCTCATCATTTCATACAGACCTGGTTCCAAAAACGTCAAGCCCGACTCTCTCTCTCGTCTGTATTCGTCCGATCAACCTGAGGCACCAGAACCTGTTCTTCCCGCCTCATGCACTGTAGGAGCCGTTTCCTGGGAGATCACTGATTTGATCAACTCTGCCCTGGTAATGGTCCTCCAAATAAAATGTATGTTCCTTCTTCCATCAGATCCCGCCTCATCCAGTGGATGCACGCAGCAAAATTTTCGGCCCATCCTGGAGTAAGCAGAACCATCGCCCTCATAAGCAGGCGATTTTGGTGGCCGTCCTTACATAAGGACGTTAAGGAGTACGTGCTGGCTTGTCCCATCTGCGCTCGAAATAAGACCTCTCACCAACCACCTTCTGGCCTGTTACATCCTCTACCGGTTCCAACCCGTCCCTGGTCGCATATCGCCGTTGATTTTGTCACTGGTCTTCCGATTTCTCGAGGTATGACTACAATTCTAACCATAGTTGATCGATTCTCCAAGGCTTGTCATCTGATTCCCCTCAGAAAGCTCCCTACTGCATTCCAGACGGCTCAGCTTCTGGTAAAGCATGTTTTTCGCCTCCATGGTATCCCTCAGGAAATCCTCTCAGATTGTGGTCCCCAGTTCATCTCTCAGGTCTGGAGAGCTTTCTGTTCGGCTCTAAACTGCAAATCCTCCTTAACTTCAGGTTACCATCCTCAATCTAACGGGCAGATGGAGAGGATGAACCAGCAACTCGAGTCCGCTCTCCGCTGCCTGACCTCAAATAATCCTTCCGACTGGAGTCAATTTTTAACCTGGATTGAGTATGCACACAACTCTCTCAGAGCTGCCTCCACTGGTTTGTCTCCCTTCCAAGTGTCTCTAGGTTATCAGCCTCCACTCTTTCCTGCAGACGAGAGAGAGATATCTGTAAGATCTGTCCATCATCACATCCGTCGTTCCCAACGTATTTGGAAGGAGACCATCACCACCCTCACCCGTTCCTCTGTCTCAACCAAGAGGTTTGCGGACTCTAGAAGACGTCTGGCTCCCAACTTCACCCCTGGCCAAGAGGTTTGGCTGTCGACCCGGGACATACCTCTGAAAGGTATGTCCAGAAAGCTTTCCCCGAGGTTCATTGGTCCTTACAAGGTGGATCGAATCCTCAATCCCTCTGCTGTCCGCCTACATCTGCCTCCTTCCCTTCGCATCCACCCCACATTCCATGTCTCCCAGTTGAAACCTGTCATTTCCAGTCCTTTGTGCCCACTATCCGACTCCCCTCCTCCCGCCCTGGACATCGACGGTCATCCGGCATACACAGTTCGCCGGATCGTGGACTCCCGTCGGCGAGGTCGCGGATGGCAGTACCTCGTCGACTGGGAGGGCTATGGTCCGGAGGACCGTTCCTGGGTTCCTGGCTTCCTGGCTCATACATCCTCGATCCGTCATTGATCGAGGAGTATGAGAGTTCCCTCCCGTCCACTTCCTCGGGACCGCCAAGAGGCGGTCGTTGAGAGAGGGGTACTGTTGGGATCTGGAGATTCTCCACCTTCTCCAGCAGAGTGCGCTGTGGATCCTCCTGGGCTGGAGCCCTCCAGCACAGCTGACGCTCATCAGCTCATCAGGAGACCGGCCTTTATAAGCAGCTGCCAGACCTTGCTTCGACGCCGCAGTGTTAGCCAAGTTTGGTTAGCGAACCTGAGCCTCTGAATTTAATAATAGTTATCTTCCTAGAGAAACCTTATTCTAATTGCCTCTGTCTTCTCGCTCCTAGGAAACCAGTCTCTCGAGAGAAGCCCTCGAGCCCAGCTAACCAACTATCCGTCTCTGCAGACGCCAGAGAATCCTGCCCGGACCAAAACCTGAATCTTGTCTTGTTTGTGTGAAACTTTAATAAACTCTGTTAAACCTTTTACCAAGTCTCAGTGGTGTTCTGCATGTGGGTTTATTTCTAAACCGATCATGACAGTTTTTAGAATGTCCCACAATCCCTTGCTCTCAATGCATTTAATGCAGTATAATTTTGAGCAGCAGATGGTGCAAATTAGCAGGATTTAACCCGAATCATTTTAACTATGTTAAATTCTGCAAACTAGGGCTGTTGGGGTGGGGTGGAGGAGTATACAGAGGTTTATGGATTTCACTCAGTCTGCATTTTATTACATCTTTGCAAATAGAGAACAAGACATCATACAGCCCTTATTGCACGGTAATCAGCCCTGTTCTGATCTAGCTAGAGTTTATCTTCCTTACTTACAATGATGGAAATGCTGAAGGTTGTGTCTGTGTCAAAACACATCTCTACAAAAAACAAATAGAAGAAGAAAGACTCTAAATGTTTTGAGAACTTTCTAATATTATGGCCAAAACTCAAAATAGGATAAAAAGCCCCTCTCTCTTAGACTTGTTGTGGCCTTGGAGCTCTGAGGCCGAATGAATAAAACTCAGCACTCATAAATCTGTATACATATACCTACATGAATATATGTAAAAGGGAATTAATAGGAGATACATTTTTTTTCCAACCACAAGGCAAAGGTAAAATATACTCTCTTTTTTTATTTTTATATAATTGTGCTTCTGGCACTACAGGATTCAGAGCCTCACCAGTCATAAACTTCACAGGACGTCACTGCCATCAAATGAGGAGAGTGTGGTCTTTCAAAGATTTCAGGAAACTGTAAAAACTTTGAACCACACTGTGGTGGCATCTGTAATGATTTATGCAGTGGACTTATTTTATTTATGCGTTTATTTGTCAGGTACAGTACACATTAATGAACATTTCCAAAAATGTGTCAGTATTAGCTATGAAGCTAGTTTTCAACTGCTGTCCCTGGGCAAGGTGTATAATGCCAACAACAATTATAACAAAAAATATGAAACATAGAAAATACAAAAAGAAATTGAGGCTAAATACTTACAAAGGCAGATCTTATGGTTCAAACAGAGACATTGGCATAAATATGTACAGATGTTTTGTTGAAGGAGTGGCAACATCAAGGGGAACTTATTTTACTTATTTTTTTAAATCATAACTAAGCTCCTTATTTCTTACAGCAATTTAAATCACATTCTAACAAAAATTACAGCAGAATCCTTTAAAACTGATGAAAACTTTTGTTTTATAAAATAAACCAAATTTATTTAAAGAAAAGCAAAGAAAAACTAAATAGGTCTTTAAAGCCACATGAACACACTTATGTCTTTATCAAAGTTGAAAATCTAAAATACATAACAGATTATGAATTAGCCAAAATTTGATATTATTACATTACATGATTTTTCTTTCTCCTTATGTACTGCTTTAGCCAGCTATATATATAAGAATAAGATAACTCAATTACTGACGATAATACAAGAAAGAAAAGAATTTTACAATGAAACATCTCACACGTTGTCAAAGCAAGCTTTAAAAAAAGTAAGAAATTATTAAAACACATAAATCCATTGAACAAAATCTTTTGCTCACTTTAAAATGACAAAATGTTAACCTGTATGAAAAAATAGCTAAACTTCGTGCTTGCAATATAAATTTTGTAGCTGCAATAATGTTGAAGCATTTCAGTATTTACAAAAGAAATAACCCTAAATTTCCTATTTTATTTATTTTTAGGAATGCAAGTTCAATGCAACCAGGCTTTCTTGTTTTGTGGCAGAATCAATCAGTAAAACTCCAGTCAGATTTCTTGGTTAAAACAACAGTTGTTCAGATATTTTCCCTGTTCAGGCTCTGGACACAGTCCCAAAGAAAGGTGGGGGTAAACCGATTTGATAACCCCTAAGAAACAACATTAGACACACAATGTTTAAGTTTCATGTAAACATGAAAGCTAAGCATGGGGAAATACATTTCTTAAGAATAGAAACTAACTTTCTACAACTACCAACATGTTTTTTTTCCATTTCCTCCTAAATTTATTCATGATGGATGTTTGTTTTTGAATGTGAAACTAAATCTGAATCAACAACTGAAAACAGTGAAATAAAGTCTTTGATGCTTAATGGCAAAAGCTGCTGGATAGAAGGAAAACTCTCAGATGACTGGACTTCATCCTGGTGCCGCTGATACTACTGTCATGGTAGGTTCTGAGGAGCCAAAGGATTTGAACCCAGATCAAAGATGTTTAGGTCTAGACAGGACCTGATTGAACAACAGAACCAAACAAAGGTTTTTAAAGGAAAAATGTAGAAACCTTTCCTGAATTCAATTCAATTCAATTCAGTTTATTTATATAGCGCCAAATTCACAACACATGTCATCTCAAGGCACTTTACAGTTCAACCAGATCATACAGTCAAATTGATACAAAGTTTTCTATCTAAGGAAAACCAGTTAATTGCATTGACTCATTGACTCAAATACAATCCCCCACACTAAGCATGCTTGTAGCGACAGTGGAGAGGAAAAACTCCCTTTTAACAGGAAGAAACCTCCAGCAGAACCAGGCTCAGTGTGAGCGGCCATCTGCTGAGGCCGACTGGGGTTCAAGGAGACAGAAGCAGAGATACAAAAAGCAGCTGTAAAAGGCGGCCCCGTCCAGGAAACACACAGCCAGGCAGACGAGCTCCGAGCCAGCTCCCATGCCAGAGGACGAAGAGAGCACATCCACTCAGTCACGGTCAGAGAAACAGGACCACACTGGAAAACAGGCCGATCTCCAACATCTATAAACAAGGGTGTTGATAGAAGCAGCAAAACTGATGTTTCTTTCCAGGATGACATCACAGCCAAACAGGAACAGACGAGGCAAAGCTACTCTGAGGAAAAGCAGAGAGAGCAGAAGGTTAGAGATTGAACTAACAGATTCTGCAGAGTGGGAGAATAGAGATAGAATGAAGCAGAATGATGAAATGGGGGTCCCTATGTCCTCCAGCAGTCTAAGCCTATAGCAGCATAACTATAGAGATAGCTCAGGATAACCTGAGCCACTCTAACTATAAGCTTTATCAAAAAGGAAAGTTTTAAGTCTAGCCTTAAAAGTAGACAGGGTGTCTGCCTCACGGACTAAAACTGGTAGTTGGTTCCACAGGAGAGGAGCCTGATAACTAAAAGATCTGCCTCCCATTCTACTTTTAGAAATTCTAGGAACCACTAGTAAACCTGCAGATTGAGAGCGAAGTGCTCTGTTAGGAACATAAGGAACAATCAGATCTCTGATATAAGATGGAGCTTGGCCATTTAAGGCTTTATCAGTGTCAAACAGCAAAATCATCTCTTCTACAAACTATTGATCCTGATTACTTCCAGATTTAGTGAACTCACCCCTCTAGAAAAAATGTTCCAGGTTAGTCTGACCCTGCAGTCACATTAGTACCATCCTGTTGTTCTTGACCTGAAATTATAATTTTGTCATTGAGTTCATTGTTGATCACAGTTACTGTATAATTCCATGCTTCCAGCAGCTATTTGATTATTAACATTTATACTGAACCATTTCCAGACCCTCTGATTGTTTCATAGAGACCAAGATCTCCTACAGGAAAGTGGAAATCACACAGTTAAACTAATCTGCCTTAATGTCAGTGATACTGATGTAAACAGAACATTAGAACCACCTCTTTACATCTATTTCACACATGTTACCTCAATCCTGCTATTATTGTTTGAATTATTAGATGCCTCAGTCAGAACAAGAGACAGAAAATCTCTAAAGCAATAAAATCTCAGTAGTGCTGATTTAGGGAAGTTGCTGAGTTATATTTGAATCTAGTTGGATACATCTGTAATTAGCTTGATGGTTATTACTGCTCCCTAACATTTATTCTGGATGATTTAACAGTGAAACTGAAAAAAATATGATCAGATCTGAATAAATAGGAGCTTCAACAATACTTTATAATAGAGTTTGAACGGGTTAAAAGTTAGAAATATCCTTATCTATGTTGGTCTGTGGCTAATTAAGCTAAATAAGACTAGACGGAAATAAATTCACAGCAATATTATAGCATTCATACGGTGGCCCTGCAGGGTGAGTGCGTAGCGCCAAGAGGAGGTTTTAATATGGCACATACAGCCGCCTGCCTTAAGGATTGCTGAGTGCCGCGGCAGGCTGGTCACTGATGATGATTCTTTTAGCTCGGCCTCAGTTAGTGATGCTTGAAAGTGTTGGACTGATGATTTGCTGGATAACTTTGGAGCTAAACTACCCCAGAGGCCGGAGAAAGAAAGGAGAGATTTACTGCGGGAGCCTCCAAGCGTCGGGGAGCCCGTCCTGGAGCAGACTGAGCTGCAGCTTGCTAGCATAGCTCATTCTGAAATGTAGCTGTAGTTTTCCTCGCCATAATCATTGCTTTGGATTTTTCAGGGCCTCTTATTCCCAGTCATAGATCGGTGTAATTGGGGTTGTAAATCACAGATGGCGGGGCTCTCTGTGCTGATGCTGATGTTGGAAGTTATTTGCTGCTGCTTCAGTTGTAAATCTGCTCCAGGGGCCAGCGATAACTCAGCTGACTAAACACTGTGCAGAGCTAGCTTTGTGAGTGTGAGCGTGTGTGTCTGCCAACAGGTGTGTGCATGCATTATGGTGTATCTCGTTGCAGCAAACAATTGTACTAGTCCAGAAAAATGTGACAAATAGTTCAGATGGAGCTATGGGAGGATGTCTGCAGCACAGTTTTATGCTTTACTGTTTGTCTGCAGCTACAGCTTGGAAGGGCTCAGTGGGATCCAGGAAGAGCTGAGAGGCTCCACCATCCAAGAGCCCTGCATCCTGGAGCATTCGAGGATGCCCCGACAGAACAGTGATGATAGAGGTTCCCTGGTGTCTCTGACGGAGGAGCAAGAGGAGCGGGAGGACGACGACAGACTTCATGTACAGGTCCGCAGAAAAACAGACGGACGCAACACCCAACAACTCAGATTGAAACATTGAAATCAAATTTTTTTTTCTCAAAATAAGTGCTTTTTTTCTTGAACTGAGGAGGTAATTGAGCCACTTTGCCAATGGAAGTAGACAATTTACACTTAATATAAAAAAAAAACAAATGTATTGTCTTATTGCAAGTGCATATTATGTAATTATCCTATTTTAAGAGTTAAAATACTCATTCCATTGGCAAATCATCTTTTTTATCTACTAAAATGAGGGGGAAATACACTTTAGACATGAATTTTTTATTTATTTATAGATAATTTTTGCAATGTAGAGGAATTAATCTAAACAGAAGTAGATTTTCTAAACAAGGTGGAGAACCTTTAGTGAGAATTATTAATCTTTATTGTCTGTCACAAATCAAACATGCAGTTTCCCTTTTTTGATTATCGTTCCTGTTTCCAGCTTCATCATCACCGCCTACCTTTGTACCTGTTTGTCTGCTCTTTAACTCTGCCGTGCAGCTGATCTGTTGTAAACTTTGTGTTTCATGGCTCAGAAATTAAGGCGGTATTGGCCGCTAAGAAGCAGCTGTCCGTCGATGACCCTTCCCCTCACAAAGTCCGTGTCCATGGTAACCATCAGCCAGAAAGACAGCGATGGCGAGTGTTTGTCCTATCATCTGGTTTAGATCTGATGTTGTTTCAGATCTCAAAGCTGATTTAATGTCTTTTACTCATCATTTAAAATATCTTTAAATCATATAGTGCTTTGGTTTAGAAACCTCCATCATACAGCTAAAACTTTCCCATATTTTGCCGTTTTAAAACCACAAACTTAGATCATAGAGCGACACAAAGCAGAACAGAACTAAGTTGGTAGGATACATTATGCAGTTCATGATGTTTTTTGCTTAGCGTCCCAGATTAGACAATTTGCAAAGCTGCTGCTCTTCCCTCCAGCTACAGCTTTGAGTCTTTTGGCATAGGATGCTGCTGTCACCTTGTTTCATAGCAGTCATTGTGGTGATGGGGGTTATTTGCTGTCCGGTTTCCGCCACACATGATGTGCTAAATTGAGGGTACGGCACACTTTTTTGATTTTTATCTATTTAACTTTTTTTTAGAGTTTTGAAGTAAAGGTTGCCGAATACCGCATTGAATCACCCCTTTCTACATAGGGCTGGGCGATATAGAAAAAAAGCTTATCGATAAAAAAAAATGCATATTGATCGATATCGATAAATATTGAAAAAATTTAAAACCATATTTTATGTGCAGCTCTGCCTGGACATTTTATGATATTGCTAAATGATTTAATTATAATAAAGAACACAAACACAGACTTCTAATTAAATCTTTATTTAACCAACTTTTTTAACCATAACAGAATTGTTTTAAAGAAAAATAACTTAAGAGACCTGAGTTATGTTATTAAATACTGACAAAGAATAAACTAAAGTGACCAGAAAAGTGACCAAAATAAATTTAACAAATACATAAATGGAACCGCCCCCCAGAAATTAACCACATTTTGTTTAGATTAACATCACTGGTTTGTATCCATGGATGGATGGATGGATGGATGGATGGATGGATGGATGGATGGATGGATGGATGGATGGATGGATGGATGGGATTTAAAGCCCACATTTAGAGAATGACAGAAATCTGTTGAATATGTGTTTGTTTTAAATTTATGAAGAATTTGATACCTAAAAGAGGTAAGATAAGGTGAAAAAGCCAATAGTTCTGGGACAAATCTACGTATGATCATAGCAGCTTGACTTAACCAAAGCCTGTTGTGGTTCTCTTCCACACCCCCAGCGGTGGGACGCCTGAGAAGAAAGAGGCGCATTTCCTTCTCTTTCAACCTTTCCCCCGTCATCACCAAATCTAAGACTTAGTTCGTTATGAAGACTTTTCCTCAAGTGATGATAATGACGATGAGTCGAGTGAGTACCAAATGGGGCTGCAGTAGAAAGTAGATCATAAGCTGCTGTAGTTGTGGTTTCCTGTAGAACCCTCAGAGCCCTCCCACTCACCCTTCTACTGAGATAGCTACACTCCAGTAGAATGAACTGTTGTTAGAGAGACCATAGAATGATTCTATAGGGTATTTGGTCCTTAAGGTCTCTGAATAGGGTGTGTAACATTGGTTGGGCTGAAAATGGCATATTTGCTGTTCTATGAGCCCTAATGCAAGCCTGGTTAAAAGCCCTAGAATGAAACGACAGGTTTTCTTCCTTTTATGGTATGCTCATGAATATTTAGATGAGCTGCGCGCTGATTGGTTGGTTTACAACGAGCAAAGCTGCTGAGCAAAGACTCATCATAGCAACAAGCACTCACTCACTGAAACTTAAAATTGTTGATATGGTAGGGTGACCAGACGTTTCAAAATCGTCCGGGATTTTGGTCGACTACAGTGCAGCACGTAGTTGAGACACACTGGGTACTCGGCCCCGTGCTTCCCGCCACCCCAGCCCCCCTCCTCCGGCTGAGGACGGGCTGCTCTTGGCTCTTTGCTGAGGTCTGGTCCAGTCAGCGGCCCAGCAGTCCTTCTTTTCAGAAACCCTGATCTGGTCCTCATAGATATGCTAGCATTGCTATTAACAGCTTAGTGACAGAATCATACTTCCAGCTTGCAGTTCTGATGGCCTTACGGTCAGAAAAGCCCCTTGTTTCAGTAAAAGAGGTTTAGCAAATCCTGCTTTGAATCATCCAAGATTTAGAAAGCTGTCTTCGGTAAAATGCACAAATGAACAGCTGAGCTTTAAACTTTGCAGGGATCTTCTGACAGACAAAAATAATTCATGCCTGTGGAGTCTTTGGATCCTTGGGAAGACTGAAACATTTCCCCTTCCTCTGTGCAGCCTGGAACACTGCATTTACACCCATGACTTTGGCTCATTATCAATAGAAACACTGCCTGCTTTGTAATTCTTGTAGAAGTAAACCCAACTGTAGGCTAAACAGCTAAACTGGTATCTTCCATCTACCTCTACTCATGTTCTTGGGTCATGAACCAGTGGGCTGGTCTCTATGTCAAAAGTACTGGCCAGAACCAAATAAGGCAACATACCCGAGTTTACATCAATTCGGTCCTGGATTCTCCAGTTTTATGGTGGAAGTTTAGAATTGTGAGATTTGAAGAGAAAGGAGGTGTTGATGGGGTTTGAACTTCTCTGTATGTCCATTTCACCAACTGAAATATTGTTACTATGATGATGTAAACTCAGTTTTGCATTCTAAGACCCCTTTAAATCTGTGGTTCCCACCTCTGGAGGGGAAGGTTTGGGAATGCTTCTCCTCTCCTGGGGAGTCCTAAAACTCCTTAGTATCAAACAGGATCGACTGCAGTGAGGTAAAGAAAAATCTGTTTTTTAAATAATTCTGTTTCGACCAGCTGAGTTTCATTTTCCTGTCCAGTGTAGGATTGGCTCAGTTTTAAGTGCTGGAGGCAAAATGGAGGCTGATTGATTTACAGCACTAAGCATCAATCAAAAGGAGAATACTAATCGGTCTCCGGCAAGTGACGTCAATTGTTTACCTCGGGTG